ATATATTTTGATTCTTATACAAAATTCAGGTCAGTTAGCCTTGTATGACTGCTACTATTTAAGGCATAGACTTATAGCCCTATGTTATTTTAAAATTTAATGCGTGCTTAGAATTTAAGACTTGACAGTGGTTTGTGGTGCCGTCTTGTAAAGCCTGAGTAATCGCGCATCTATTTTTACTCTTGAAAAGAGCCACGGGGCAGCTCTGTGATGTACACACGAATTTTCAGGTGAGCCTCCCAGCCTTGGCTCCCTCCCCTGGGCAGAGTGAGGGGTGCACTGACACATTAGTAATGACAATTAGCAGACACATTAGCACCTCAGAGGAACTGCTCCAACCTGGTTTTAGTAACCATCCCACCAAGCACAGAGAAGGTGAGGGTGTCATTAGCACCTCTGACTTTGTAGGTGCTGTGACACTGCATCCTGAGTGGGTAAACAAACAAGAAAAAGCAAACACAAACTCAAACCCTCTCACCAGGGAGACAGCACGCTCCAGGCCTCTCAGAAAAAGCGCTGGTGGTAACGTCTCAGGCATCAACCGGAGGCCAAGGCAACACCGGAGGCTGGGGCACGTTTCTGCACACAGCAATTGATTTTTTTTTTGATCTGCAAAATTTTATTAAGCAATAGCTGGACAACTCGTACAACTTCAAATCATCAAGAAAAAATAAGGAGAATAATCCATCTCAGCAATAAAGACAGAAAATAACTTGGACAAACCACACCGTTTGGAATGCAAACCATGACTGCCTTCTAGAACACCTCCTTCACAATCTAATACACAAAATACCTAAGAAGAGAGGCAAATCAGTGAGCTCCTTAGAATGCAATTGATCATCTCAACAGACACTGGTTGGAAAGTAAAACAAAAGCGGGGTGCGGAAGTGAAAGCAAACCAACACCAAGGAACGGAGGCGCAGGGGGCAGTGCGCCATTCCCAGGTTTGGACAAGAACATGCTGGTGGTCTGGTTTGGTCTGGGACCTGTGCACCTGCATCGTGCATTTATAGTTTAAAATATAAAAAAGGAGAAAGAAAATGACAGTAGTAATAAACTCAGAAATTATGTCCAAATTTACAGTACCAAAGTAATGCATTTATAAACAAATGCAAAAACAACGCCCCTTTGGTAAAGAACACAGTGCCTTTTTCAGTCAAACACGTAACCCATGCTTTTTTAGAACACGAAAACAAATTTTATATCTACAATAAACGAGATCATAGAACCCTATCCCTCCCCTTTAAAAGAACTTGTAAACAGAAAATATAGGTACAAGTTACAAGAAAATTGCACAAAGCCGAAGAAATGAAAACAAAATAAGCCACAACCCTTCAGAGTTTTATCAGCCAAAGATAAGAAAATACATGAATGATGAAAGTTTTGAGATATGTGCTATTACAAAATCCCAGGAACTCAAACATTTTTGACATATTTTGTCTCAATTACCGTTGACTTGGCCAAGTGATGGATGTCCACAGGAACACACGGGCTGTTTCCCCCGAAACCTGCACTGAACACCAGGCTCCAAGAGGCCCTACACTCTCTGGTTGCTTGTTTTCTAATGCACTCATGGTCTTTGGGGCCAGTGGTGATTTATTTTAGGCAGTTCCAAGGGTGGCCACTGAGCAAGGCTCCTTTGTCTTACCTGGAATAGATGCTTTTGTATAATTTTATGAAAAGTGTGTTTTTCTGGAGGTGAATCTTCTACAGATATTACTCAAAATGCCCTGATTTACGTCCAGCAGATAGCCTGTTAAGATGGAAAAGATCTCTACAAAACAGCAATGTTCTGAAACAGACCTTCCGAATATGTGAAGTGGAGTGCTAGGGCTGTTAGAGTTGGACAGGAGTTCAGACTGTGCAGCGCATCCCTTTCATTTTACAGATGGACAAGTGGAGGCCCGAGGTCACCCTCCAACTTTGTGGCAGATCAGGCTTGATCCTGGGTCTCCTGACATCCTGCTCTGATTACAGGATAACCATGCATGCTCTCACGTGTCCTCGTGGGACACTCAACAAGGAGCAAGGGCCTCGGATGAAAAATACTAACCTGCATGATCCCGACATCTACTGCCATCCAAGCTTTGACATTCTCTGACTCCTTTACATCAATTTTTTTCAAAGTATATATTCAGTGAATAGACTGTATACAAATCTAGGCCTTTGGTTTGATGAGGTTAGAGTTAAGACAAATTTAAAATTTTGTTTGTTAATACACTACTTCCTTCAAAAAGGCATGGGTTTTTATGTAGTTGACCATTTACTGGGCTAATCCTATATAATAAAAGCCTAATATGCTAAGTGTCCAGTCATCTGTTCAACCAATCAAAGTGTAATATGCTAATGATATGCTAAGGCCACTCAACCGCTCATTATGATTTGCACTGACCACCAGGAGGCAGATGCTCTGACTGGTTGGTTAGCTTGCTGCTGGGGTCCAGCCAATCGGGACTGAACTAGACAGGCCGGATATGCCCTGGAGCCCTCCTGTGGCCCCTTCCTGGCTGGACAACCTCCTTTGTCCCTCCCTGATCGCACACTGGTGGGGTCCCTTGGCCTGGCCTGCACCCTCTCGCAATCTGGGACCCCTTGGGGGATGGAGGAGAGCCAATTTTGGCCCTATCCCGTAGGTTAGCTAAAGGACCCACTGGTGCATGAATTTTTGCACTGGGCCTCTAGTATTTTTATATGTAGGGATTCAATGAGGTATCTTAATATTCATAAATTGCTACCAATAAACATAAAGTATGTAGAATTCTGCTGCTTAAAGTACTGACTTTAGTAGTACTTAACAAACTGAGACTGACCGAATGAAAACAATTTTTAAAATAAGTGAAGGCATCGCCATTAGCTTAGAAGACAGCACACTGCTGCAGACATCTGTGTAAGTAGACCTGGCACCTGAAATCACCTGCTCCTGGGCCGGGGGAGCAGAGCAGTGCTAACGCAGAGGCTCACCACGTGTGCAAAACATCCAGGAGGGAGGCTGCTGAGGGAAAACGCCCTCTGAGGAGCGGTCCAAGAATTAGTAAGTTTAGTTAATTATTTGCTACAATACATTCTTTTTACAGATGTATTTGTAGCATTAATTCCAAGGATTTCTCTCAATATTTCCTCATATTAAGAGAAGTTCTAAAAAGTACCCCATTTCATGGTCTTTATATCTCAAAAACCAATCAGAATTTTTAAAACTTATTACTAAAAATCCCTTCCTTTGATACCTATTCTAATTCTAAAAAGTCTCTTCTCATTTCATATCACCTTTTATTTTTAATTAAAAATAAAGTTTTCAAAAGAAGGGGTAATATTTTAGGATATGTTATCTCATATATAATCACTAACTCAAAATGCAAAGAAAAAATTACTCTTAAAGGATTAATAGAAATGTTTTTCCCAATTGGAAAAAGTTACACTGTTCAGTAAACCCCCCATCACAACTTTTTTATTTCTTGCAGCAAAATATACTGCTACCAAGTAAGTCGTTACATTCTGTTTTTCTAAGGAAATTATAAAATGGGCATAACTCACCAGTAAAGAGTAGTAAAGTAGTTCCTAAGAACACTATTAAAGCAAGATAAATAATGATCTCTTGGGCAATAAAACAGAAAATTGCATTTAAATTATTTTAGAAATAGGGTATACCATATTGCACAACTAATAATAACCACTGAAACATCATATCAAGATACAAAAGCTCACATAAAAGAATTAAATATGAATACATGACTAAATTCTTTTTGCCAGGTTCACTATTGTGAAATGTCAGATGGTCCCGGCTTGGAGATGCCTTCGCCATGATTACAACCTTATGTTTCTGTGGGGCCGGAGGGTGGTGCGTGTGGATGTCTTCTTGTTCTAGGGAAGGAATGGGACGGTTTCTTTTCTAATTTTAAACCAAAACAGGGTATTAAAAACACATTTCAACACTAAAACATGGAATTAAAATAAAAAACATAATTTCCTGTAGTTTTCCATTTTTCTGTTTTCAAACAGAATCCAAACATAGGGTAGTTCTTGTGCTCCTGCCCTAAACACATCACAGATGCGAACAACTGAGAAAGTGCAGTGGGTCTGGCCACCAGGGCTGAGCACTGCCCAGGTGTCCGGGAGGACAGGATGAGGGGGGAAAAGATCTCAGTGGATTTTTCTTCTGCAATTAACCAGAAACTACCGTAACTACAACTTTCCCCAGGCTGTGGCAGAGGCTGTCTACACTGCACAGTTAACGAACAACTGTTTTCCTGAAGACGACAGTGGGACTTCTGTGAAGAGATGACCACAACACTACCTCCTCATACCCCGGCAAATCTTACACATTTTTGCCTCCATTTCTAAGCTGTGGAAACACATTTCTAGTCAAGTGAAATTTAATGTAGCTGAGAGAGGAGTGCTTTCCAATCAGCATCGTTAGCGTTTTTAGAAAAAGGAAGTGAAGAAGAGTGCTGTCTGACGGGAAGGATGATGTCTTCGGTCACATTTCAGATTCAGCAACGAAAGAGGGGGAGTAAATGCTACTTTTCAGCCAGGGGAACCCAGGACTCGCCACGGCTCCCGCCGAGGAAACCATAGCCCCACCGCGCCCTGGGACCTTGCCACGTCTCTCTCCTCCCTTCCCCTCAAGTCAGCCACACTGATCCCATGGATTAGGACATGTTACAAAGCTTAGTGGCGTCTGCAGTGTCAACATCCTCCAGAGAGGAGCAGAACCCTTGTACTATTTCAAGTCACACCCGCCAGGTGTGCTTGTGCAGGACTTTCCTCCTCGCCCCTCAGCCCTTCCCCTACATCATCAGGAGCATGGCCTATTCTCACCTGGTAACAGCACCTACAGAAAGCCCACTCTTATTAGCCAAACAGTGCGTTTGCCAAAATACCCTTCATTGATCAAGTCACCTTTAGGGGAGAAACATTAATATGTATGAATCAAATGCTGTCCCTCAAGAGAACCTGTACCTTCAGGGTTTTGGGTGTGTTTCTTAAAGAAAGGTTTTGATTGCACACTAGTGATGCTGTGGAGGATGAGAAGAAGGCATACTCCGTACGTCTAAAAGAATAGCGGGCTACAATGCAGTCTGTCTTCCTTCTGAAGGACCCGTTGTGTGTAGCTGACATATGCAAGCCCAGTGGCACATTACCACCATCAATTATGGTTCCAAAAAAACTCCAGGTGCCTGGTCTCTGCTTCCAGATACCTCTCTTCTGTATTGTTTTGTCTGATTAAAAAGAAAGACAATAAAGAATAATAAAAGCCCAAACGACAACGCTAACGGTCTGTGCCCTCTCCTGGGCCTGGCAGACTTTTCCAGTTTGCTCTTGTCTTCTGGTCCCCAGGTCCTGAGGCCCTTGCGGGGTCTCTACCATCCGAGATCAGACCTCTCTGAAAAGGCTCCTCGGGCGCTTTCTGCTCCCCAAGCCGGTCTCTTCACTTGAGGCGCTGCGTCACGTTGGCCAGGGCCACGGCGAAGGCCTGCACAGCCGAGAAGGGGTACTGGAAGTCCAGAATGTACGCATTGCCATCGATCCTGCCGAACTGCATCACCTGGAGGGAGGCATCGAAGCCAAGACATTAGGAGACAAGCTGGACAGGCACCCAGGCCTGCGGCTCCTCACGGAGGCAGGCAGCACGGTCTAGGAGGTATTTTTGCCAACAAAAGTGAGTCTGGTAGGCTTCTGATTCTGAGTTTGTCAGAAACAAAGGAATGGAGGAACATGCTAAGCAACGCAGTGGAGAGACAGTGGGCAAAATTCAGGGCGTGGGAAGCCCCACGGGTCAAATGAAGTGGTTTCCTCACCAAGGCAACAGACAGGAGAGCGTAGAGAGAAGAATCTATCGGCTGGAAGAGGCTTAAGAAGAACATCAATTGTAACCGTCAAATGTCACTGCTCAGAGCGGGATGAACACAGCACACCTCCTTCCCATCATGCTCACCTCCCAGCCTGCTTTCCTGTGTCATTTCTGTACGTGCAGTGACCATTACGTAACTGTCACATTACATCTTATTTATTTATTTATTTATTTTTAAATATTATTTATTGAGTTTGTACAGCGAGGAAGGGAGAGAGATAGAGTTAGAAACATTGATGAGAGAGAGTCATCGATCAGCTGCCTCTTGCACACCCCCTACTGGGGGTATGCCCGCAACCAAGGTACATGCCCTTGACCGGAATCGAACCCGGGACCTTTCAGTCCCCAAGCCAACGCTCTATCCATTGAGCCAAACCGGTTTCGGTTGTTTTTTATTCATTCTTTCTTCCATTTTTGTAGACTCCGTGAGGCTAGGGCCTTTCTGTTTACCTCAGTGCTTTAATTTCTGTACTTACAGCCGTTGCAAATGTATTTATGAAAACAGGAAGCAGACCAGATTGGCCCGTGGGCTACAGTTTGCCAACTCCTTGCTTGGAAGCTAGCCAGGCATATAGCAGGTGCTCAATAAATATTCGTTGGGTGAATGAATGAAAATAAGATTTAAATAATGTGAGGTGAAGGGAACTCCCAGGATAGTGGAGAAGGGTTGTCTCAGCACAGTGGTCGGCAAATTGTGGCTCGTGAGCCACATGAGGCTCAAGAGCCGCGGTTTGCCGACCACTGTCCCAGCACAACGGCTATGCAGCAGGGCTAGGGCCAGCATTCTGGGATGAAGCAGAAAGAACTGCCAAATCACCCACTGAGTTTAACTGCATTGAAAGGAGATTTACATCCTGCCATAGGACCGGGGAATGACTTAGCAATAAATACATGGAGAAATACGCCAACAACACAACTGGGTAGCCGAAACCGGTTTGGCTCAGTGGTAGAGCGTCGGTCTGCGGACTGAAGGGTCTCAGGTTCGATTCCGGTCAAGGGCATGTACCTTGGTTGCGGGCACATCCCCGGTGGGGGGTGTGCAAGAGGCAGCTGATTGATGTTTCTCTCTCATCGACGTTTCTAGCTCTCTATCCCTCTCTCCTCCTCTCTGTAAAAAATCAATAAAATAATTAAAAACACACACATACACACACACACACACACACACACACACACACACATACAACTGGGTAATTATGTCTAGGAAAAAAACAAACCCATACAATAAAAAAGGGAATGTAATGAAACCCTACTATGTGGCTCAGCTGTGAAACATGTGCTGGCATAACAAGGTGCCAGGTGACGACTGATTTGGCTAAGAACAGCAGGGGGCCGAGCGGGGAGACTGGCCCCATCTAGGAGGGTCCGTGGCCCCCCGTTTCCCGGTGGCCTTTGGAAAATGCTCCTCTAAGCCAAAGCACCGAGCCCCTTCCCCCGGCTTTAATACCCAAGAGAAACCTCGATTCTGGCCAGCCCGCGGACACCCTTACCTGCCGCCCCTCCAGCTCGATCTGGAAGTTCTTGGCCGACTCCTGGGTCACGCGCCCGCCGAAGTCCAGCTGGTACACCTGGGTGGCCTCGTTCCAGAGAGGCTGCTTGTTGGCCATCACGTACACGAAGCCCTGGCTGCCCAGCCGCCCGTCCTCCCGCTCGCTGGCCTTCCGGCACTTGAACTCGTCCAGCTCGCTGGCCGTGCGCAGGCTGCGCTTGCTCTTCCAGCCCTTCTTGCCGCCCTGGCTCTGGTTCATGAGCTCGTCGCCGCTGATGAACAGCTCCGGCTCGCTCTCCGAGCTGTCCTGGAACTCGTTCGTCTTGTTCAGCTTCTTGGACTTGAGCTGGTCCTTCTGGCTCTTCACCTTCTTCTTCTCCCTGCCCAGGCGGGGGCTGGCGATGAGGGAATTGAAGTCGCTCAGGGTCCGCGCCTCCTTCTTCACTTTGCCCTCGGTGATGGCCTGGACACTCCCCTCCTCCGCCCGGCTGTCCAGGCGCTTCCGGCTCTTCCTCCCGAACCTCTCTGTCCGCTGCGGGACGGGGCTCTCCGCCAGCGAGAGCACCTCCTGGAAGCTGTCCGAGGTCTCTCCCACCACCTCTGCGCCCAGGTGGCTCTGGAGGTCACTGGGCGGGGGTGGGGACACGAGGGGCTTCTCCACCAAGTGTGCCTTGGCGGGGAGGGTGCTCTGGGGATTCTGCATGGGCGGGCACGCGCTGTAGGAATTCCAGGGGTGCAAGGCGATGGATGGCAGCTGTAAACTTGAGCACGTGCTGCTTCCGGGGTACATGGGGGGCAAGGTGCAGTAGGATAGGCTGGGAGGGTAGGCCGGCTGCAGGACCACGGGGGGCTCCTGCTGTGCAAACTGTGTGGGGGACAGGGCATCTTTTGAGGAGCAGGGAGCCGGAACTCCCGGCAGCGGGGGGTTGCCATAGCTTCCAGGGTAGGGCACTCCCATTCCGTAGCCCGTCTGGAAAGTGGCAGTGGGGCTGGCGGGAGACTTGGGGGAGATGAAGGGCACTCGGGACACGTCCAGGTGCTGGCTCTGACCTACGACCAGGGCGGGCAGCTTCAGGGGGTTGGGCACTGCAGGCTGTGCTGTCCTCTCCTGAGGCACCCAGACGTCCTCCCCCAGCACAGGGTCCCACTGGTACGGGGGCGGCCGCTTCCCGGCCACAGCGGCCTCAGGCAGTGGCAGGGAGGCGTGCCGCGGCGGCTTGTCCACGGGGCAGTGCGGGGCCAGCGCCTCGTCCTCCGTGAAGGCCGAGTTGACGTAGTCGGTGCGCTCGCGGTTGCCCTCGGGCGGGCCCAGGAGGCTGTAGGAGGACTGGGAGGCCAGCGGGGAGGTGCTGGCCGCCTGCGCACCCCCTGCGCTGCACTGGCTGCAGGTGTAGAGGGCTGCGGGGGGCCGCAGGGGGAACTGGGCGGTGGCCTTGGGCTTGGCGGGGTGCGGGTGCGGGTGCTGCAGGGGCGGGTGGAGCCGCGGGGGCTCGGCGGGCGCCGCGGCCTTGAGCACCACGTCGCGGTTGTTCCTGCGCAGCGTGGCGTGGATGAGGCCGCCGTCCAGCCGCGGCGTGGCCCCCCGGCTGGAGACCAGCGGGCCGGCCAGGTCGGGGTAGGGGGGCGGGTCTCCCGGGGGGATGGCGTAGCGGGGGACGTGAAGGCGGTTCAGGGTGGCGCTGGTGCAGGGCTGCGGCACCTTCTTCTCGGTGGCCGTGAGCCTCAGGGTGGCCGAGCTGCCGGGGCCGGCGAGGGTGCAGGTGTTCTGCGAGCAGAGCACCCGCGTCCGGGGCCGGCACACCTCCTCCACGTTGCCGCTGCTGTCGAAGGTGGTGATCCTCTCGTAGCCCAGGGGCGGCTGGTAGTGCACGGCCGTGGGGTACAGCGAGAAGTCGCCCTTCTTCAGGCACACGTCCACGGGGGGCTGCGGCGGGGGCGGCGGGGGCGGGGGCGGCGCGGTGGTGGGGGCGGCAGGGATGGTGCCTGGGTAAGGCGGTGGGGGGTTCAGCTTGGCCCCCTGGATCTCCTGGGGGGCCCCGAACACCACGGCGTCCCCCTCGGCGGCCAGCTGCGGCCGCAGCGCCTTGGCGGGCTTCTGCGGGTGCTCGTGCTCGCGGTCTCCGTGGGCCCCCGGCGCGGGCCCCTGTGCGGGCGGCAGCAGGGGCAGCTGCGGGGGGCTCGGGAGGAGACGGCCCATCTCTACGCCCCCGAAGATCACCTGTCCGGGGCTGGAGTAGCGGCTGGGGACCGGGTACGGGGTGGCATTCTCACTGGCGTGCTCAGTGGCCCCCATGGCCGTGGTCTGGTTGGTCAGGACGTCCAGCTGCACGTTCTGGTTGGCCAGCAGGGACTGCACCAGCCCGATGCTCTGCGTGGGGGACATGGCTTGCGCCGAGCTGTGGATGGGAGCGATAGGGATGTTCACGGTACAAGGCGGGTTGTTCTCAGGCACGCCAGATGCTCCTGTCACTGGAGGGAAGTGAGAAAACACGCTGCTTACAGAGTACACCATGAAACTGGGTCTAAGTAAGTACCACCACCCAATTCATTCAGCCTTGTCTACAAAAGGCACTGCACAGACGAGATGTTTGTGCTGGGGAAAGCTGATCTGTTCACACGGTTACATGAGCTTCTCTGGTGCTTCGGGATGGGCACCGGCACTGCAGGCACTGCAGGCCCTGCAGGCAGCCTGTCCTCACCACTAGCTAAGCTAAAGGCACTGTCAGCTTTCCACCTTCCCCCTTTGGCACCACGTGTGCACATGGCAAACACGGAATTGTTTCAGACGCTCTGGACTCAGCATGATCGAGGAGGTTTTTCCATGGGCATGTACTGGTCAGTGTGGAATGTGCCTGTAGCAAACAGCAGGTGTGTATCTGAAATTTCTATGTAAATTAAGTTCCTGTAATAGAACATGTAAAGTGGAGTATAGAAACCAATAAAAAGAACACACAGAAAATCTGCATATTAGGGGAAGGCTCATTTCCTAACTTCTCTGCTGTTCAGCATTTCAAACAGAAGTAAGGTTGGGGTTACTATATCCTATCTGTCAGTGGCGAGAACTTAGGGTACACACTTGAGCCATGACCAGCAGACACTGGCAGGCTCAGAGCCCCCATCTGTCTGCCCTGTCCGAAGTGGCCGAGAGCAACTCTGCTCATCTGGGCGCTCTGAGGCCGTGTGCCAACCAGAATGAGCAGGCCATGCAATCTAAAGGGTTAAAGACTGGCTGACCTTTCACCAGAATTACAGAATGCAGACATTTGGTTCATCAAAAGCTAAGCCTTCCTGGGTTCCTGTAAGAGATGGCCCCTCCCCGAGGCAGTTCTCTGGTGAGATGTAACTCCCGCCTGGCTGGGCCCCGTCTCATTTCCTATTGTCCCTCTCAAACCCCTCCTCCAGATGTCCTCCCATCTGCATGGAACACTGCGGGGAGGCATGGTCCCTGCTAAAACAGAGTCTCTTTGCCGTGGCACCTGCATTAAGTGCAAGTCCTGAGACAAATGTTCCCGACTCTCACTGGGACCACAGCAGCACAAAGGGCCGAGCGTGAGAGCAGGGAGGCGGGGCGGAGACTGGGAGAGACTGCTAACCCGGCATTCTGGAGCAGCGGGGGCCTCCGCACCCTGCAGGGGACCGCGGCTGCAGTCCAGGACGGGGGCTGCACCAGGACGGCTCCTGTCAGACAGCACCGGACACTCACTGACAGAACAGCCTGCGCTGAGGAAAGGCAACCCTTTCCCAGCGTCAGAGCCCAGGTGGGGATGCCTGTCCCTCTAGCTCCGCCATGAGGACTGGCGCCCTCTGCTGGAGAACAATATACGGAGAAGGTGGGTTCCTTCTGGCTCAGAAACCAGAGACTTTCAGAACCTGCTTGGACATACGTAGAGGAATCTCTACAGCATTTATAAAATTGAAGGTGGATTTTTTTTTTTTTTTTTAGAATAGTTACATACAAATAATTGGCAGGCTAATTATAAATCATTATAATCTATTAACCAAAATAGATCTCCCAAGAGAAAGCACTACAGATATTTGGAAATGAGCACGTCGGATGGTGTGTGTGACGAACCCGTTAGGGCCTCTCCATAAGACTGGCAGTGGGTGCGGAACCTGCCAGCGTACAGCGCCCAAAGGAAGCCACATAAGTTCCTTTGCTCATTGCAACAGCCACCGGCCCTTCCGGAGTGGCCTGCCTCTGACTACGGTCTTGCTCTGCCTCCAAGTAAGGGGCCGCTTTCAGATTCTACCGAGAAGCTCCCAAAGAAGTTGTGAGGCAACAACTCTCTGTCCTGCTCCAGCCCCGAGGGCGGGCTCCCGACAGCCAGGTGTCCTGTGCGAGCTCACCTGGTAGGTCGTCCTCGTCCTCACTGAACACGTTGGGGTTGAAGACGGGCAGGTTCACGTAGTCCATGGACACCTTCCGGACCTCCGGGAGATAGATGGTCATCTGCCGCGGCTGCAGGTGCAGGAGGCTGGTTTTGTAGATGACTGAGGGGAGGAGGAGACAGGCAGAAGAGACATAAGAACAACAGCCAAGGACCAACAGGGTCACAGCCAGAGAAAGGCTCGCAAGCCACGTGCGGCTCTTTGGCCCCTTGAGTGTGGCTCTTCCACAAAATACCACAGCCTGGGCGAGTCTATTTTGAAGAAGTGGCTTCAAAAAAGTTTAAGTTTAAAAAATGTGGCTCTCAAAAAAAAAATATCTCAATCGTTGTGCTGTTGATATTTGGCTCTGTTGATAGATGAGTTTGCTGACCACTCGTCTAGTCCAACCACTTTGCTAATGGTTTGTCTATAGAGCCACACGTTCAGAATGTTAAAACCCTACCTGAGACTTAAATTCTTTTTTGGGAGTGAGCTGGGGTATGAGAGATATTTTTAAAAAGCTTTCTTGTAAACAGAGATGATTTAGTGAAAATAGTTGTGATAACCAGGCTGCTGAGCTCAGGACAATCCTGGGCAGCCCCCAGCTGTTTGAGAGCAGCTCTGAGATGATAAGGGGTGGTGTGCATCAGGCAGAGATAAGATGCTGCCTCCAGTCAGGACAGGGTACTTGTCTTAATAACTTTCAATTTTACGATCAGTACAGAGATTTATCAGGAACTTCCAGATAATTTTTTAAAATACTGGTTAATTTAATTAACAGGGATATTTAAGAGAAAGACAAATTGCAACTAAAATATTTAGAGGAGACAAAGGAAGTTAAAAAATAATGAGCCTGGCTCTGGCTGGGTGTAGGAGCATCATCCTGATATGCCAAGGTTGCGGGTTCAATCCCGTGTCAGGGCACATACCAGAATCAACCAGTAAATGCATGGATGGGTGGAGTAACAAATCGATGTTTTTCTCTCTTAAATCTATACATTAAAAAAATAATCTGTAGGTTAAAATCAGGATAAACTGCCTGTCAACTTTGTTTTTTGTTTTTGAAAAATTTTTATTAATTTTTTTACAGAGAGGAAGGGAGAGCAAGAGAGAGTTAGAAACATTGATGAGAGAGAAACATCAATCAGCTGCTTCCTGCACACCCCCTAACTGGGAATGTGCCGGCAACCAAGATACATACCCTTGACCGAAATCGAACTTGGAACCCTTAAGTCTGCAGGCCAACGCTCTATCCACTGAGCCAAACCGGTTTTGGCTACTTTATGTTTAATACTCTTTCCTATGAGCTACTATTCACCACCATGGTTCCTTTTTTTTCTTTTGTTCCACCTCTACTGCTATCACCTGTCATGGCCTGGAGGCTGACTGGCCAGCATTGCCATGGCAGAGCAGGCCTTTGAGTTCCTCTGTAAGGCTGGTGCTTGGCCTGGCGCTGGCAGAGATGACTTTGCATCCAGTGGTCATTACAGGATTATTCACATGTTCCTCTGAAAGGATACTGACTTGTTACTTAGAAATTACATCTATGAAGATTCACCACTAAGTGCTCACAGTCAGCCAGCTTCTTCTTCTAGCCTACTGCTTTCTTCAAGGACCTAAAGATACTGGCACCAAAACCTGCCCCAACGAATGGCTAAAATTAAAAAAAACGGAAATCTGTAAAAAATCTGAGACCTTTTATAGAGATGTCAGCTATTTCTGTCATTTTGTTAAGTTAGGGATGATTTTGTTGTTAATCCTCAGCAGAAAATAGAGAGTGGAAGGAAGGGTGGGAGGGAGGGGAGAAAGAGAGGGAGAGAGAAAAACATCCATGTGAGAGAGACACATTGATTGGTTGCCTCCCTCATGCACCCTGATGAAGGGCAGGGATCGAACCCGCAACCCAGGTTTGTCCTTAACTAGGAATTGAACCTGAGATCCTTTGGAATACAGGCCGGCGCTCTAACCACTGAGAATACCAGCCAGGGCAGGGGTGATAATGAAAGCACCACTGGCAAAAAACCAATCTGAGTGATTATTCTGATTTTTTGTGACATCATAATAGCTGGAGTCAAAGTTTGGAGTAAAATGCATGCTAATCGTTTGATGTCATGTGAGCTCATTTTCTCTACTTCAGGCCAAAAACTGACCTTGTTTTTTTCAGTTTGAGTTTCAACTAGGACAGCGGGCCAAAAAAGGACATGGTTTTACCTGCACCGAGGTTGGTTGGCAGGAAAGCCGCCAAGCCCACAATCTTAAACTTGGTTCCCCAGATATTAGACGTGACCTGAGCAAGGTAGTTGTGCTGTGGAAGAAAAGAGGGGAAGAAACTTACCACCTGGCGCCATATTTCCTATTGATAAGAACGCTAACACTTACTGCTCAGAAAGCCCAGGAGCTCCCAGGAAACACTCACCCCACCTCGCCCACCACTGTGGAGAGCAGAGCCAACGCCGCCGCCAGCCCATTTAAACTCATCGGTCCACGTGGGAGCGATCACAGGCCAGTGGGTCTGGGCACATGCACCTTCACCTCTCCTTTCCCACAGTCCCTGAACTAGAGACGGTATCTGGCTCTGAACCCATTTTTATCTTGGATATTTCTCCTAAAAACACCAGTGGCCCTGACACCTTCCTGAAACTATCCCATGATCTGTTTTTCAGTCAATGAAGTTCAAAAAATGAAAAGTTCTCTTTGTGCCTCGCCATGCCTGCATGTGTGTACCCGAAGACAAGGAACGGTATACCACACAGCTCCCCAGAGCGCCTATGCCCTGTGACGAGAGGGCCCAGGACGGTTTGCGCACAAGGAGTCACTGGGAAAGGTGACAAGGGCTCTGCAGGTACTGTGGCTGAGCTGGGCGGGGAAAGCCTTCCCAGGAGGGGAAGTGGTCTGGGAGTGTGCAGGCTTCCAGTGGCCAAGGCACAGCACAGGCACACAGGCGGGGAGAGGCAGGTGTGACTGTCACCTGGTGGGGGAGGGTGGAGGGAGGAGGTGTCTAAGGCTGAAGGATGCCCTGTGGGAGGTGGAGCAGAAGTAACGGGCCTGCCTGAGGGCAGGGTCGTGAGGAGGGGACACAGGCTCTAATGTTCTGAACTGGTGTCTGGAGTCGTAGGGACATGCATGGGGCGGGGTAGCCATCACGGAGCCTACGCTGGGGCGCAGCAGGTACACGTGACCAACCCGGAAGCAGACACTACCTGAGTGATGTCTTCAAAGGGAAACTCTCTTCGCGTCAGGCTGGGCGAGCCAATGGAGGGCTTGCGCATCGGCAGCCGGGGGGACCTGGACATCTCCTGAGCAGCCCGGGACAACTTGGGTGACTTGCGAGCTTCGATGTTGATCCTGCAGAGGCGAGGCGGGAGGGTGAGGCACCTGGGGGGATGTGCCACGCTGGCCGAAAGGCACCCACACTCGTGGCAGGCCCATTCACCTTCCAAGTCACCCACGGGTGTCACATTCTTAGGAGCCAGGTCCTGAGATTTAACCAAGTCCCTCCCACCTGTTTTTGCTTCATGATCAGGAGAAGAGTAGGACGGAATTATATACTGAATAATCCATATTTTAAAAGATAGTGAGAGTAGATCAAGCAATTCATTTGAAAGGAAACGCAGAGAATTAACTATCTTTCACTTTCTACTGACTTAGGTTAAATTTAGAAATGTCCAAGTCTTCTGCCAGGGGTTTGCAAAATCAGTCTCGAGAAAAATGGCAGGTGGGAAGAGTCACTTCTCACCTTATGGCTACATCATTTTACAATTCCTAGTGCAACACTGGATTTCAATAGACCTAGCATTTCAGGCCTGCAATGTTTAAATCAAATATTTCAATGGAATGCAAGTTTTTCTGAAGCCCCCCCCCCCTTTTTTTTCTTTTATTGTTTTGCTAATCCTCACTGGAGGATATTTTTCCACTGATTTTTAGAGAGAGAGGAAAGGAAGGGGAGGAAAGAGAAACGTCAGTGTTAGAGAGACACACCGAATGGTTGCCTCCCGCATGCACCCTAACCTGGGGCTGGGGATGTATCCTTGGCTGGAATCAAACCCAAGACCCTTCAGTCTTGTGGGTGGCTGCTCTATCCACTAGCCAAATCGGCCAGGGCTCTGCAGCCTTTTGATTCTATGTTCCACCTATGGTCAGCCAGTCTAACCCAAAGAGAGTCATAAAAATGAATGAGGCGAGGTTGATGACATTCTAAGAAAGAAGAGCATACGCCTCCCATTACTACTGAGCCTGATAAGACATCAGCACTCCACAGAACGGGAGCACGGAAACTGAGCTGGTGAAGGCCTGTGTGAGGTGATTAGCCTGCCTGCTGCATGCAGAGGATTCAACGCAGGGAAAGAGGGAATGAGGAGGACGGACTATGGGGATGACAACATCTAGAAATCTTAAAAGGTCCTTTAAAGATGAAGGATTTAGTTACTTTTTGTTAAATGTCCTCTCTGCTTAAGTTACAAGAAAACCCAAAACACATAGAGGTGTAGGAAAGTTCATAATTTATAATTTTAACAAGCTTAGAACAAAGATTAAAAAAAATCAACCAAATTGCTGAAGCAACTGGATATCTATATGGGGAAAGTGAACACTGACCTCTAACTCACAGGATGCACCAGAATCAAACTCCGCTGCACCCCCCCACCCAGAAAGGGTAAAACTATCTTTAAAAATGGCGATACAATTGCAGGTGAGAAGGAAAGCAGTGGGCACTCTCGTACTTGGCTGTGGAACTCACAACAGTACAGGCCCCGCAAGACTGTCTGGCTGTTTCCAGTGCAGTACACACGCGGCTACCCCAAGCCTTGCAATTTCCCTTCTAAGCACATGCCTCCGATGAATGCATTCACCTGTCCACCAACATACGTGTACAAGAAGGTCTATCATGGTTTCATTCATCATAGCCCCAAACTGTAACTACCAAACCTGTGACTTCGTAAACAGAGTAAACAAATTCATTACAGTGGAATTCCACAGCACAAAAAAACTATCGCTAGACACAACAACATAAGTGAATCTCAAAATCATTATTCTGAGCAAAGGAGTCAAATAAAAAGTACGTATTGGCTCCATTATGTGAAGGTCAAGAGGCAAAACTAGTCTTGGGGGACAGAAGCCAGAACAGCGATTCTTCTGGAGAGCGGGGATGGAATGGGAGGCTGCACAGGGACCATGGGCGAGGATGGCATGTCCTTTAACTTTGCCAGGGTGGGGACAACACTGCCTAACCAGCTGCACAGTGAATTCCCTGTTTCAGTCTAGGCAGGTATGTATCTGTACGCAAACTGTACTTTAATCTTGCCCGGCATCCCAGACTTTTAAGCTGGACGGGCTCTATCTTAGTGCAGATCCGTCTACCCATGAACCTCTCCAGAGAATGACAGGAGTATCCAGTCAGGATCTGTACACTTACACAGCCCACAGGCAGTGATGGCAGGATGAGAAAGGTGATGCTTCTTACCTGTGACACCAGGGCCCTTAATCTACTCTTACAGCTCGTTCCAATTTTTAAAATAAACCGTAGGGTTTAAAGTTTTTTTTTGTTTTGTTTTTTTGTTTTTTTTTACTATTTCCTTCTAATTACAGCATTTTTTAAAAATAAATCTTTAGTGTTCATATTATTACAAATGTTCCTCTTCCACCCCCCCCCCCCAATTGCTCTCCTCCACCAGGTTCCCACCCTACCCTCTGCTCTTTCCCCACCCCCCATTGTCCTCATCCATAGGTGCAAAGTTTATGTTCAGTCTCTTCCCACATCCCCCCTCCCCTTTCCCCCAAGAATCGTCAGTTCACTCCCCTTCCATACCTCTGATTCTATTATATTCAACAGTTAATACTGTTCATCAGTTGTTGTTTTTTAAATTTCCTTGGTTTTTAGATTCACTTGATAGTTACGTATTTGTTGTTCATAATTTTTATCTTTATTTACTTTCTCTTCTGAAAGAATCCCCTTCAGCAATTCATATAATTCTGGTTTGGTGGTGATGAACTCCTTTAGCTTTTTTTTTATTTATTAGTGAAGCTCTTTATCTGGCCTTCGATTCTGAGTGATAGCTCAGCATTATACAGCATTATACACATTGAATCTGACAATCTTTTCAACACATTCCCTACACTGTAACACCTTTTCCTAACTTTCTCAAACTGTATGCCGGGGGCTCTGGCCACCTGTGCCACCCACCACCAGCACCGTGCCAGAGAAGCCCTGGGGCTTAGCCAATTTCCCATGGGGTGTCTTTTTCTGTCCAGAAGTAAGAAGGGAAGTTGTAGCCATTGCAAGCTGAGCTTCCGGATGAATGTGGGGGTGCAGGTGTCCCTGTGCTCTCCTGTTGTTGGTTTCAATGGGATTCTACTACAGGCACAACACACACACCTCCAGTGCCACAGAAAAGAGGCAAACACCCTGAAGAGATTACCTTGGGAGTTTGGGTGATTTGCTTGCTTGGGAGATTTTGGGAGATTTCTTGGTAGCCCAGTCATCACTTAGTTCGATGTCACTTGAGTCCGAGCAGTTGCAGCTGTCGATCATGGTAGAAATCAAGCTGTTCCCATAGATTTCATCTGGTAAGACACCAACCAGCAAGTATAAGGGAAGTGACATGAGACCCTAACAATGATCATTACTAGAAACTAAAGGACAGGCCATCATTTTAAGACCAGAGAGTGAAATGGAAAGAAGCAGAGTACTGCTGTCATTTACATTTTTATGCTATTACTAGAGGCCTGATGCACAAAGATTCCTGCAAGAACGGACCTTCCTTCCCCTGGCTGCCGGCTCCGCCTTAGCTCCGGCCAGAGCCACCTTTCCACTCGGGTCCAGAGCCGCCTTTCTGCCTTCCCACGCTGCCCAGAGGCCCGGGGGACTGGGGCGGTGTGAAATGCCCCGGGCCACTTGGCACCTGCATATGCAAAATAACCTGCCGGCTTTGTTGTGTTAATTTGCATACTCTCTCCTGATTGGCTGGTGGGTGTCCTGAAGGTATGGTCAATTTGCATTTTACTCTCTTATTGATGTAGATATTTTCTAAGCATTTACTTCTACATTTATCAAATGGGCACAGTATTTTAATGCCCTGAAATGTACAACATAGTCCAGTACTTTACTGTGCCAACAGTTGAGACCAAAATGGCTTCACTGTTGTGCTTATGACACACCAAATATCAGGAACTCATGGGCTGCCCAGAGCCGATTGAGGGTCTTGCTGACTCTTGGACTCCCTCCCAAACCTATTTCTGACCTGGGATCTGGGAAAGCCCTTGTTGGGTCCGGGCCTGCTCTCTAGAAAGGAGACCTGACGGAGCCGCCATGTCTGGCTTGTAGAACAGTCTGCTGGCCTTGCCCCCAGGTTGCCTGTGGAGGCCAGGCTGTCCAACTGGTGGAGCTGTTTGCAATGGCTGCAGGGAAGCCTGTGCAGTTGGACTTTCAGGGTAGCTCTGGGTCCCACTGAGGGTACCTGTATAGAAGCCACTCAGGGTAACTCTGCAAACTGGCCACCAGGCAGAAGATTGGAGGCCCCAAGGCAGAAGGTGAAGTGCACAGAGATGGGGCCATCACAAAACTGCTAAGTAGCTGAAGCTCATGTCTGATATCCTCCTTCGGTCACCTCTAACCATCAACGGCTCCTTTCTTCCTCCATCCCCTAAAAATCACATTTTCTTCTAAATTCACACCCACAGCCCTTTTGGTTTTGTCACTTTGCTTCCTTCCTCCCCTCCTTTTCGCTCGCCTCCCTACCAGCTCCCATTTATTCTACTCGCTCACCTTGTTCTTGGTACTAGTTCATCACATGAGTCAAAAGAAAAACACACACAAAACAATTGAATACTGGAGTGATTAAGTGAGGCTAAGGTTGAAAAGCCATTGCCCTGTGCCTCTAGGATAGCTCTGGCCATACCGCAGGTCACAGTGGCTTCAGGAACATAACGACGGGCACAAGCCAGTCTATGGGAGAGAGGATGAATGGGAGCTAGGACGTGGAAAAAACAGAGTGAAACTAATGCCAACAGACCTCATTTAACTCCTGTTATCCAAGGTCAGGTGCTTGCCAGGCACTGGGCATACAGAGATGACTCAGTTTCCTCCCCCCAGGCCCTCAGAATTCAGGGGCAGACAGAGCCCCCACAAGATTACTATGTGCCTCTTGGGATCTCAGCAGCCGCACTGACGGGGGACAGGCACCGAGGACAGTGAAGCGGAGTTTACTGTCAGGGGGCAGAACGTTTGGGCTGGCAGGTACTGCTGACGGGTGCTCAGGCCTCGACAGGCACTGGCTGAGGACACTGGGCAGGAATAGTCAGTACAAACAAAAAGAACACAGTCCTGTCTAGAGTTCACAAAGCAGAGTCGCAGGAACAGGTGTGCAGGGAGCACCGTGAGCACATCCACTGAGCAATGCAGCTGCAGAGGACAGGGTTCTGGAAGGGAGCCGTGCTTATCACGCCAGATCTTTATGAACAGCAAGAATTTTCCCTGGTTACCGGTGACAAGCAGTTCCCAGTAGATCAGTGAGGGACAGAGATCCCTGTGGCAGGAGATGGGAGGAGCTGGAGGTGTGGGGATTTTAATTCTTTCCTTCACGTGAGGCGGGGCAGGGACAGAGCAGGCTGTCTCAATAGCACACGGAGCCCTCAATGATCACTACCCCCTGGAGGGCCCTGTGCCAGTGTCCCCTTCACTGACGGCCCCACCACATGAAGCTCGACATGCGGTTAAAAGTCCCATGAAAAAAGTACGTGCAGCCAGGACCGGTTTGGCTCAGTGGATAGAGTGTCGGCCTGCGGACTGAAGGAAGGGTCCCAGGTTCGATTCCGGTCAAGGGCATGTACCTTGGTTGAGGGCACATCCCCAGTGGGGGGTGTGCAAGAGGCAGCTGGTCCATATTTCTCTCTCATCGACATTTCTAACTCTCTGTCCCTCTCAGTTCCTCTCTGTGTAAAATCAATAAAATATATTTTTTTAAAAAAAGAAAGAAAAGAAAGAAAAAAGTGCGTGCAGCCATGAACTTGCACAGGCAGTTAGGCATCTGGAAATGGAGTGGCTCTGAGGATGTGCCCGTTAGCCCACATTCCACAAATGGGCATTCTCTTTGCATGGGCTGTCAGGAACCACACCTGACAACGAGGCGTCGGTCCCTCGGCGAGGGAACCCACCTGATTTGCTGTCTGTCCGGGGGTCCATGATGACAAACTCCGGCCGCAGCTTGCTGATCCGCCGCCCCTTGAGGATGGGCACGAGCCCGCCCATGTACTCCAGGTAGAGCGTGTAGCATGGGCCTCCCACCTCTGGGTCATCCTCTGTGCGCTTCATGGTGCAGTGCAGGCGCTCGTTGCCGGCCGACGGGTAGCTGACAAAGTCTCGCATGTTGTTAGGGTCTGGAATGGGGGGCTGAAAGCAGCAGAGAAAACAGGGAGAGAGTGTGGTTCACTGGTGACTGACAGAACACTGCCTGGTGGCCCAGTTGGGGTATTTGGCATGGAGTGGTGACTGGTAACTCTGGGTGGATATCAGGATCTGCTGGGAGCTTTTAAAAACACACACCTGAGCCAGGATCCCACCTCAGACAGTGAAACTGCACTTCTAAGGAGTGGGCCTGGGCACGTGTATTTTATAAAAACTCCCCAGGTAATTTCAATATGCAGCCAGGATGAGACTTACAGGTTCAGGAGCAGGCTACAAAGCAACTTGAAAGAAAAAAATTACAACAGATTCTAAAACTCTCGTGTTTCAGGAAAAATGTAATCCATGAGTCAATCTCCTACTTGGAAGCAGAGACAGAATACAAAAAAGAGAACACAGAAAGAAACCTCCGGTTAGGGGGCAGCCCAGGCCTGAAAGGCACCGGGCAGACACAGTCCACACACTCTCACTGAAAAACAGAGCAGTTTTGGGGTTACAGTCAGTACAGATGGGCAGTGAGTGCTGGGCGGGTCGCTCCTCCTCAGCACAGGTGAGGATGGCAGGCCCTAAACCCTGACTGGCTCAATCCTCACCATCCCCATAAGGAGCTATGGAGGAAGTTACTCAACTTTTAGGAACCTGTTTCCTGCTTTCTCAAGGGAATGACAGTACATGTGCCAGGAAGTCATGAATGAATGAAGCAGCTGATCGCAGGGGGCCATGGAGCTCAGAGCACTGCCTCTGCCATGAGAAAGCTGATGTCCTTCACATGAGGCGGGTGTCTGGTGGATGCACTCAGGATGGCGCACATGTGGGAGGATGAGGCGGAACTCTGCAGAGCCACACCCCTTCCCCACCCAGACCTGGGGGGGCACTCTCAGCCATCTTCCTGTCTTCGCCCCCTCTCTGCACGGGTGAGGAGGAGGGCAGTGGGGGGTGGGGGGAGTGAAGAGAGGTGGGGGGTAGAGTAGGCTGAGGGAGGAGGGCTCTACCTTGATGGTGGGGATGAAGGCGGAGGAGAGGTAGGAGCAGAGGCGAGGGGGCAGGGTCAGCTTGCTGACGTCCTTGTCTTCTCGCAGTGCACTGGCAATGGCCTGCTGGCACAGCAGCTGCAGGCTGGACACCCGGTGCTCCACACGTACCACGTACAGGGCCGGTCCCGAAGCCATCAGCAGCCTGGAGTCCCGGTGGCCCCAGCAGATGGAGATGATGGGGCGCTGCCAGGAAGTGAAGGGCAACCACGCATAAGCTTTCACTCTTGTAAGCAAAGAAAGCTCATGCATGCTTATCTCAAGCAAATAGGTTGTGAGAGTATTTGTTTTAAAAAGTACAACAGGGAATCCTCAATACTGTATTATGAACATTCAGTACTTTCACTGAAAAGCAGTTAGATCCTCAGGCCGGAGTATAGATAGATTACTGAAATCATTTTTACAAAGTTCCTGTACATATATTATCTCACTTACTTTAGTGCCATTAAAACCTAAAGTAGCGACGTTTCTACCAGAAGATGCAACAGGCTTGGGGTACAGCAACATGTACTCCTTACTAAAGCTCTGATTATCTGGGCCCCAAGTAGCTGGTGGCCCAGCTCCCACAGCATGGGCAGGTGGTGAGGAGTGGACCCGAGGCCCTTCCCCTTTGTCCGGACAGACATATTGACACTGGATCTGGGGCAGGATCTGTGTGGCCTGGAGGCCACCACATAACCCCTGCAAGTCTACTCTCTCCCGAGCCAGTGGGAGCTGTGAGCATGGAAGGAATGAAAGATGTCGGCGAGCTCCCGGGACCTTTCATAGGTCATACCCACACACGTGAAGTCCCTGTTATCTGCAGCCACCCTCTAGCTGATGGTTCTGAGAGAAAGTGGAGAGCTAGCTGGAAGGGGGAAGGGAAGGAGGACGCAGGTCCTGTGGTGGCCTCGTAGGGGTTGGTGGCCATCACTTGCTTGGAAGAGGCCGGCTGGCATCCAAATGCGCAGGTAGAAACTGCTTGTGCTGCAAACACTCAGAGCTGGGGGTGCCGTCTAAATAAGATCAGCCAAGGAAGAAAGCAAGGGGTGAAGGGCTGTGATGGAGAAGATACAAGAGAATTTGCTCTTTCCGATCCAGGCAGATGGAGTTCTAATTTAATGAAGTCTTGAGGGTCTCAAAGGTGAGAAGTGGGGATACCAGATCTTTAATATGAATGACAGATAGAAACAGAATCTTTACAACTTTAGTGACAACAGCAAGATAAAAGGAACACAGGAAGACACTTGCTTAAAATTGTCCCCAGGGTCAGCTAATCCAGGTTTTAACTTCAAAACCAACCATTGGCTGAAGATAATTCAGCTTTCATTTCCATCACAGAGGCCAGCTGCAGCACCAGAGGACCAGGGAGCCTGGAACTCAAGTTTGGGGCTTCCAGAAACTTCCAAGAAGGACCTCCTTACAAGAAGATCCCACCAGAGGGACGAGCCCATAGAGGGGCCTGTTAATTCAGAGCAAGGTTACTCACTGCTGAAGACAAGGCAGATGACACATAAAAAACACAGTCAATTTTCTTTGGTGTCACCAATCCCCACAAGTGCCAGTCAGGACAGAAGTTCTGTTAGTACCAAAACTGTGATTAAACTTAAAGACAAACCACTGCCCTCAAGTGTCTGTATTCCCTCATTGTCAGTGCTGAGCCATCTAAAAGGAGTGCAGGTTCGTTACTCTACAGCCACAACACGATGGAACAGTGAGGTCAAGGGCCTGCTTCAACCCCTTGTAGGGGTGTCGAACTCAATCAGAGAAGGGGCCAAAATCTAAAATCCAGCCTAAATCGCGGGCCAAATGGTTTACTGAACAGTCATAAACTGTCATTGTGATGGAAACGCAGCGGAGTGCAGTGATGACAGCGCGGTGCGGGCCACATTGCAAGGCCTGGCGGGACGGATTTGGCCCTCGGGCCTTGTGTTTGACACATGTGCCTTAGGGCATCCAAAGACACACAAAGTATGTCCAAACCCTCCCTCCTGCCACTACAGAGAGGCCATGCATTTGCCCAGTCACTTATTCAGCTCCTGAGCTGCCAGTCAGCTTTTCAGTGAAGACCTGGTACCTGTGCACAAGGGGCCACACAGACTCCAGGTGTGAGAGTAAGGTAAAATCCCGCCCTTGCGCACTGACCCTCTGAGGTGGGAGGGGAGGGACAGTAACTGAGTATCTGCCCGGATGACTGGGTGACGCCAGGTGGGGAAAGTGCTGCGAAGAAAACGGGACTAGGTAAGGGCGAGGTCAAGAGCAGGGCTGTTTGAGTAGAGGGAACCCACTGATTCATTTGTTAACGGGAAATGATGGCTTCCTCACTATGTTACTGTTTGTATACAGCAGTGAACTGGATGAAGACTTCTAAAAATGTGAGAGAAGCACAAAGCAGGGTGTCCGCTCCGTATTAAAGCTAAGCTGATCACGCTGGATTAAAGTCGACAACAAAAAGGGTCAAAGAGAGAGAACACTGGCTCAAGAGCAAATGCACTTCAGATGTTTCACAGACCCCGTAGACAGGGATGATTAATGTCTGTACAGAATGTGTCAGAAAGGAAAGCTATTTAGAGGAGCTCACCTTCAAACGGACTAAGCCGATGACTGGTCACCAAAGACTGTGTTGGCTGGAGCTGTGGACGTTCTGAATATTAAGTTACGATGATTTGGCCACCAACCAAGTGAAATAAAAGCTAGCTCAGGATTCAGTCACCCCAGCTGAGCTTCAGAAGAACACACCATTGTGTTATGTAAGCAGATGAGCAGGGAAGGACTTTCTCATCCATTTACAACAAAAAGGAAAAGCACGCGAAGCAGCTTCCTGAGAATAGGTAGAGCTAATCCTCAACAAAAGGACGCAAATATGCTTTTGCTAAAGGTTTCTCCTTCAAGAGTGTAGAAGTCTATGAGCACAAATGCAATCTTTCACTTGATTTTTCAGTTCCCACACCTACCATCTTCTTTTCCTTCTCTCTTAAATTTTTTACCCAAATACCTTACATCAATGATTGAACCTTGTAGAATACAATCCCACTTGCTTTCAATGCAAGAAAAAGTTCATAAAGCTAAAACAAAACAAAACTACTGACCAACTGACAACCCAGACCCAAATTGCTGCAGCAGCAAGCTTCAGTCAGTAGTGCTAACTCTGAAAACCTGTGCCAGATGACCAGCTACGCTAGGAGTGTCGAACTCAATCAGAGAAGGGGCCAAAATCTAAAATCCAGCCTAAATCGCAGGCTGAATGGTTTACTGAACAGTCATAAACTGTCATTGTGATGGAAACGCAGCGGAGTGCAGTGATGACAGCGCGGTGCGGGCCACATTGCAAGGCCTGGCGGGACGGATTTGGCCCGCAGGCCTTGTGTTTGACACATGTGAGCTACGCCATTATTTATAGATGGTCACAGGTAAGAGAAAATGAGGTCAATTATAGGATTTTAAATTACAATAGGTAGGAAGGGAAGGAAAATAAATTATAGCGTATTTCCTTGTAAGAGCTTCAGCCACAGGCAGAGCCATCATGAGTAAATCAGGAGAATCAGTTTTAAGGCTGAGGCTGTGTGAGCTTGTGCTTGGCAACGGCTTTGTACGCAATAACCTACAATCTAATTAACTTGGAAATAAATTGTCCAATCTAAACTGCATTAAATTCTTTTTATAAACAGTTCAATAACTAGACCAACTTCCTTCCTGCTATAAAAATGTTCCTGCCTTTGGACTCCATGAGTAGCATAGCACAGATAACGTGATTTCAGAATCATTCCAGGCAAAGAGAGAGTTGGTACTATATAAAATTAATATTGTGTTTGATTTTTAATAGCATATATTGAACTTTATATTATTGAGGCAATTTTTTCAATGGTTGAAACAAACCTTCAAATGAAAAAAAGAATCACTGATTTGTTAAAATGCTAAGACACTATATAGATACTTTTCTCCAAAGAAAAGATCAGCCAACACACACACCAGAAAATACCAAGTGTTGGCAAGAACGTAGAGAAGCTAGGACCTTTGGGTACTGTTGGTGCAATGTAAACTAGTGCAGCCACCATTAAAAACAGTATGATAGTGCCTCCAAAACTAGAAATAAAACTACCATATAATCCAGCAAGTGTCCTGGGTATTTATTTAAAAGAACTGAAAGCAATGTTTCAAGTTATATTTGTATCTCCTTGGTCACAGCAGCATTAGACCTAAATAGCTAAAAGGTGGAAGGAACCCAATGGATGGATGTATAACATGGTGTATATATACACACATATATAATATATAATGATATATTATTCAGCCTTAAAAAAGAAGAAAATTCTGGCATATGCTGTAACGTGGGTGAACTTTGAGAAAAGGTTATGCTAACTAAAAATTTAAAAATTCATAAAAAGACAAACACTATATGATTCCATTGATATGAGGTATGTACAATAATCAAGTGCATAGAAACAGAATGGGACAAAGTTTCAGTTTTATAAGATGAAAAAGTCCTAGAGATTGGTTAGACCACAATGGTATATACTTCACACTACCTAACTATACACTTAAAAATGGTAAGATGGTAAATTTTATGTTATGTATATCTTATTGTAATTTTTTAAAAGATATATTTAAATAATCAATGCCTGCATCTAATTACAAAATACCCCAATATGGCATACCTGTCTCTCTAATGAGCTGGGTGAGGTTAGGACATAAATCCCTAGGTTACTATCAACCCCATCAATCATCAACTCACTCCCAGCTCTGTGTCCAGCCCACCCTGCTGAGGATCATCCTCTGCCATACTGACCCAGACCAGACCGAATGGTCTGAAGATTTCTGGAACATAAAACAGACAGAAAGGGGCCCACCTGAGCACTTTCTCAAAGAACTTTTAAGCTTTAAGACTGTTTAACAGTAACTTAGTTGAAATATAAAAATACATTACTGACTTAACAAACATAAAGTTGGAGTGAATAAATTAAGATTGAGCATCCATTTCTGCACATTTCTGATTTCTACTTCAGACTGATAACACCACTCTGCTTACTGTCTATTCATTTGACTAGGCAATAAAATATTTTGGTTAAAAAAAATGTCTTTCTCCCTATGTTTCCTGGTTCATATCCATAATTTAATTAAAGCCAACGAAGAATTAAAATCTGTCAAAGACAGTGACAGTGAGTATAACCCACTCATGACTCTCTCATGCAGACTGGGGCACAGAGTGGATTGCCCCCCCCCCCGCCCCCAAATCCTTACTTGCACAAGTGTGTCCAGTGTGAAGATGTGTTCCCCACGCACATTGTAGAACTTGACCATGGCACTCTTCAGGAGAGGGCCGTTGGGAAGGTCACCAAGCTGCGTCTGCCGTTCCATTCCAGCGACTGCCAGAAGGTCTCCCTGCGTGCACCACTGGGCCACCACCTCTGAAATCACAAAAAGAATGGCCTGAAACATGCCTCTCCCGGACTTTCACTTGAGTAGTTTAAAAAAGAGACACTTGACAAATATAACAGTGGTTCTCCCCTTTTCTCTCATGAAGACGTTAGCTACCTATTTCTCTGAAAACAACACAGACTCTATTAAAAACAGGTGCTTAAAAGCGGAAACATAACAGGTGAAACATGACAGCTAAAAGACAATGAAATTAAAGAAAATATATGACAAAGCTGGCATGCTAAATCTCTCTCTCTAATGCCAGCAATTCCGTAACCGGACTTGCAGAATTCCGGGAGAGCAGGCAAGCTAATAAAACCTATGATGTACATCCTAAGTGCTTTTCCCAGTGCTGTGCCCCGACCAAGAGATGACTCAAAGAAGTCATAAATGTTAAAAGTACAAAGTAAATCAGGGCAAAGCCTAACTTTATACTCATTTGATTTCTATGCACCCCGGGCAGATAATGTGCAGGTAAAGAACATATCTGCATATGAAGGCCCCAACTCTTACCCAACAGCTGACGATGTTGTGGGCTTAGGAAAGAAGATAAGTCTGTTAGGGGGGCGTGTTGTCAGAGAATGTCCACACTGGAGATGTGGTGCCCTCCTACCAGCCTTTCAGTGCCTACAGAATTGGCTATGAAAGGATTTGTCTAATCCTGTTGTGAGCCAGTTACTTCTTCTTGCTGGTGAAATAAGCTGTTGGTACTAATGAGATTTACAGTAGAGCTTTTCTCCCTCAAGACCCTAAGACTATTTGTGGCTTATACAGAGGACCCAGAAGTCTGGAACTCAGGGGCCCGTTCTGCAGAGGCTGGACAGGGACATGGGTAAGAGCTGGGTCTACAATTCAACAGCCTAAGTGCTAACAGTCACACGTGGTCACGGCCTCTCTTTTCACGTGGGCACTGATGCTGACATTAGCACCAGCCGTCCTGAGGTCACCGCACAAACTGACTTCCCTTGAAGGCTAGACAGTGGCCTCTCCAGACCCAGGGAAGCCAGAGCTCGTTCGTCAAGTCAGCCACAGACAGAAAGCAGAGACAGAGGCAGCAGAGAGCTGAGAGGAAGGAGTTACGGACAAGCACCAAGTGAAAAAATACACCCTGAGAGCGCGCGCGCATCAATAAAAGGAGCCTCCCCGCCCCCTTTTCATATAAGAGGATATGAATAAGGTGGAACAAATGAAAAATAACTTTAGAGAATCAAATACATATCCTGGGGAATATATTTTTAAAAAGATGATGGGGGAAGCGAGAGGGCTTGTGCATACACCAGTGTGCTCTGGATCCAAATGCCCCAATCGCTCCAGTGAAGAGCCTTGTGGTAATGAAACTGAAACGCCCTTTTCTGGATGGTTCCTTTGTAAGCACAAAGATGTCAAAAGGAGGAGCACTAACAGGTAAAACCAGAAAAAGATGAGGTCCAACCTTGTCGAGGGCAGAAGCATCACTGCACCACCACAGAAACAGACACCAGCACTTCATTTTCACAGCTCCTAGCTGACCCGCTTTGGTCAGTGGGTGAGTGGGTACCGGCACCATTCCTTTGGCTGTTTATTCATGTTAATAACATTCTTGGCATTCTGGCTTTTACCAACAGAAAAGTAGGTTGTTGCTCCCGCAGGGCTGACCCGGACACAGTCATAGTCAGAGGTTGCTCAAAGACAGGCCCTGGGCACTCCAGGCTCTTATGACACTTTGGGAGTCTCAAACATTTTGTTTACTAGGTGGGAGCTGTCTGAGTTAAGAATGAGCCTAGCCAAAACTGGTTTGGCTCAGTGGATAGAGCGTCAGCTTACGGACTGAAAGGTCCCAGGTTTGATTCCAGTCAAGGGCATGTACCTTGGTTGTGGGCACATCCCCAGTAGGGGGTATGCTGGAGGCAGCTGATCAATGTTTCTAGCTTTCTATCCCTCTCCCTTCCTCTCTGTAAAAAATGAATAAAATATATTTAAAAAATAAAAGAATGAGCCCAAATATTCACAAGCAAATGTGCAGGGATTTCTTCAGGGCAGTTGAGGAATAGAGTGAATAAGAATATGGAGTCACTATGGTCAAGCCTCTAAATTATTCAATAAAGTCTGCTGACACCATTCTTGCTTTGACTAGCCTGGGGACTTAACCTTCGGGACTTTCCAGTCCTGCGTCAATGCCTGAATGCGCCTGGCTCACTGTGCGTCTATGGCCTGAACATACATCAAACCCTCAAAGACCATCTGAGTGATCTCAAGAAGAAACTGATCCACTGTCCAGATCACCGGACATCTGACAGTTACCATCTTGAATCAACGCAGGGCTAAGAAGGCAGGACTGATTCTTCTCAAGAATGTACTCTGTACTGTAAGAACCCTCGGCTTTTCTTTCTCTATTGGAATGGTCTGGTATTGCCTAGCTGTGTTTTCTCTGCAAACTCTATGACACTTGCATAAGTCTTTGTTATTTACTTCTAGACAAAGCCTCCTGAATCTTAACTGAGTGCATTTGACACAGTTATAAAGTTATCCTGAGACAGTTATACTCTATAATGACAAGTCAATCTTTTAAAAGGAGTAAGTTTCACAATAATAGGGTCATGGTGTGCTCAAAGAAATGTTAAAAAGAGAAAATTCTAAAAAACAGAGAAACAAAACAATATGAATTTGAATTCCTTTATTTTAAGGCAATGTGGGGTAAAGTGAGACATGCTCTTAAATTTTTGAACTCCTGGCTAAGTTGTTATTATTATTATTTTTGGTTGGTAGCAGAATGCAACATCCAAAATATGCCTTACTGGCATAAGGATTATTTTGAGAAGAAATAAGATACAAGACAAGCTCTCTGCTCCCCATAATTGTATAGAAGCAGGACAAATTTGTAAACGTGTATGACTCCCACTAGGAAGAATATTGGAGGCAATTTAGACCATTATCAACTCAGAAAAGATACTAGACGAATCTATAAGACAAATTTGTGAACTAGCTCTTATCGTCAATTAGTTCCCACAATTTGCTGCCTTAGAAGCTTAGTCTTTTAACTTGGTTTTGTCATTTCTCTAAGATGTATTGCTTCTTTGTTAACATGCTGTATAATTCCACATTCTAACCACCCCGAGTTACTCGTTGAGTGCTTTCATAGGTAAGGCCAATGCCTGAGGTAATACATTTGTTTGCTTTTTTCTCTTGTCAATTTGTCTTTGGCCGGTCTAGTCTACAGGGCCCCAGCTGCAGAACCTCAGATGGGCAGAGGGAAATGTTTTTTTCCTCCCCTACATCCTCAAGAAAGAGTAAAAGTCACAACAAAGGGTAAACACTCCAAATAAGGTGAACCAATTTATGGTTCACTGTGTGATAAAAAAATAAATAAATAAGTCCCAAATTTGGGATTCTCATATCTTTCTTCAAGGTACAACTTGCTTAGGAAACAAAAACAAAATCACTCCTGCCCCTATGCACACACAAACGAGTCTGCAGTGCAGAAACAGGTGCTAGGTGCTGAGGGTGCAGGCTGGCCGCAGGCACTCTAAGTTCTTTCCACGTGACATAATCACTGGTGAAAAGCTGAAGAATATCACAAGTCAGCTTTCTGCATGGGAGTTCTCTGGTTGTATTTATTTGAGACAGTAACAGAAAAATACCATGCGGATCTAAGATGGGAGTAAGAATAAAACTCTAGTCAAAAAAAATTCTCATCTGGGAGGGCTATTATGGGTCAGCCCCCCGAGTCACACGTGTCTCTAATCTGCAAATTGGTGGGAATATGTTGTGGATGCTGCTCCAATACAATCTTGTCAGATAAACAGAGAACAAAATAATACATCCAAGGTAACTTCACTACACAACCATTAAGGCTTTAATAAGCTTAAAACCACAGGGGCTTCTGTGTAAATGTGTCTCATGCACCATCTGCTGCCTCAAGAACAGCAGGTGCTGCCCTCCACTACTCCGCAGACACTGTGCCAGCCAGAGACAAACACAGCACACAGAGAGAGGGCCATAGTGGGAGAAGAGGGAGAAGAGCAGATGACGATGAAGCCTGAGGTTAGGAATCCCTCTTCTAGGCAAGACCAGGCAGCGACTTGTCAGCCAAGTAGAAAAGAGAAAGGAAATGGCCTCTAACAGACTCCCTAGTCAGAAAGAGGTCACTGCAGGGGACAAGAATCAGCAAGTGCGGGGTGTACGACACCCGGCCTGGAAAACGAATCCCTGGGCCTACGGTCGAATGCAGTACCTTTCAGTCCTGAGCGGATGATAGTGGGAGACAAGTCATCGTAGCTGTTCATTAGGCTGATGTCCCCCGAGGTGAAGCTGACGGTGAGCAGTGGCCTGATATGCTGCACCGGGACGGGATATGTTACGGGGCCATCTGTGGGGACAAAAGTGCTGAGTGAAAAAGAGACAAGGACACATGACCTAAATCCAGGGCCACAACGCTGCAGTCTTGTGGAGGGTCTTGAAAACTGCCTGGCAGTGCAGGCCGGACTCTGGCCTGGGATACCGCTACAGAAAGCACCATTCTACACCACTCCGAACGACGAGGTCCGCAGAGGGTGCTTTGCAGAGAACCTGGGGCAGTTACTTCCCAAGTGCACCTGTCGGTGCTAAGAACACTCTCCCTCAAGACCTATCTACCCTGAAACACCAGCACTGATCTTAATTTTTTTATGTGTAAACACTGTCTTCTCATAAAATAAACAAACACACACATTCACAGGTATGTGTAATGCATTTTCTCTGGGAAGCATAACATCCACTTCTGGGAAAGGAAGCAGAGAAAGTGAGAGCATTTTATGTGCAGGAAACCTATGCCAACGGGGTTTCATCAACCTGACCAGTGAGAGTGAGACGGGGTGGCAGAGAGAAGACAGTCAAATCGAGAACACAGACTGGGCTTTGCAATTTGGCTCATGAACTCTTCCCAACAAGTCAGGGCGCTGTGCCTGCGGCAGACCTTTCCCCCTCTGCCTCTAAAGGAGTTCACTCCCTCTGTACGCCGGTCCCTGGAAGCAGCGCGCTACCTTGGGGCGGGGAGTAGTCGTCGGAGTCCGTGTCGCTCTCGCTGCTGTCCTCCACCAGGAAGGTAGGGTAGTTCCAGGCCATGCTGATGATGCCATCAGACTCGTGCAGGAGGACGTGTGCCAGCATCCTGCCGTGGCAGTCCATGACGATCACCTGCCCGTCGGCCGTGCCGAACAGCACCTGCAAGTGGGCGCCAGGCTGCTGATGGACGGGGGGAAGGCCTCTGTCCCACACACCTCACCACCCCAACTTGTTTAGAAGGACAAGGTATACATGGAATAAAAACACAGACCAGTTAAGCAACTGAAGGGATACACAAGCATAAAGCAGTGAACATTTAGCTGTTACTGCAAAAACTTGAGTCCTCTCATACTGAAATGTGACCAGCAGCACAATCAATATATTCATTGCGTTGTGTGGACATTATCAAATAATATGAGCAAATCCTGGTTTCACTTTTTGTGGGTTGCTTTGTTTTCTGTGTTGAAGGAAGAGGGTTAAGAGGATTATATGCACTTATTTTTCTGGAAAATAAAGCAGCAACAGAGGTTCATTGTTAAGAATTTATCAAATTTAGAAGACAGACTTTGGTGTATGTTTGACCTAGAGAAAATATACCCGGTTATGTAAGCATGTTACTTAATCATATGTGGAAAAGATGTTCCTGAAATAGTTTGTCAGTTTTATTTCACTGTGAATAAGAATGGTGTTAGTTAATTAATGTTATAAAGTATTAATGGTGTTATTACCTTCACTGAGTGCTGGCTTTGTGATAAGCACTATATTAAAGCTGCCCTTGTAACGGTCAGAACACTCCTGTGAGTGAAGGACCAGCACGGCTGGGATGCAGCTGGATGGGCCGAGACCTCCAGTTGCTGAGGTTGGCCCTAGGGAACTGCCCCGGTCCCCAGGTCGGGGAGCACACACTCAGGGCCTGCTGGGGGATGGGACAGGCACATGGCAGAGCTGGAGCACAGGCAGGCAGAGGAAGGGGGAAGGGAGTTATCCCCGTCCCCATCAGGGCAGTGCAAGAGTATCTCACCAAGGCTGGCAGCTCCCTGACAGTGCTTCCATCCAGCCGGATGTCATGGGGGGAACCTCGATTCCCCTTATAATTCACTTAAGTAGTAATGAGCTCACAGATTTTACAGGACTATTAGGATAAATCAATTACGACCAAATATTTCTTTAAACATGATCCACATTTTAATGACTGAAAGCAACCTGGATGGATTTGGAGAACATCATGCTAAGTGAAATAAGCCAGTCAATGAAAGAAAAATACCACATGATCTCACTCATTTATGGATAATAAAGAAAATTATAAACTGTTGAACAAAAAGATAGATACAGAGACAGTAAAGCATCAAACAGTATGTCAAATTACAGCAGAAAGGTTAGGAAGAGGTGGGGGAGATAAGAGATCAACCAAAGACTTGTATGCATGCATATAAGCATAACCAATGGACGCAAAACTCTGGGGGTTGAGGGCATGTATGGGAGTGGGGGAGGGGCCAATGGTAAGATATGTATACATATAATACCTTAATTAAAAAAAAAAAAAGAATAAATAAATATGAAGAGAGGGAAATTAAAAGGCTGAAACTGTTTTCCCTCAGAAGTGGTGGTCAATTTATTAGTCCCTGACACTTAAAGAAAAACAGACAAAACCAAAGAAGCACTGCAATCTAGGCCCTTGAGCAGGAATAGAACACAAGAACCTTTTGGTGTGCAACCTGAAGTTCTAATCACAAGCAACACCAGCCAGGGCTTCCCTTTATTTTAGATAGGTTCCTAAAGTATATTACCAGGTCAAAATGGTTGATAATTTTTAATATTTTTGACATACTGTACACTAAAATGCTTCTTCAAACGTCTAATACATGTTATTACTAGCAATGAATGAGAATACTTACTTGATTGTACTCTTATCAATAATGAGTAAAATCTTTTGTATCAGTTTATTACTACTTTTGTTAAAAGTGAAAATGTCTTCATTATGCTATTTTGCATTTTTTCCCTTAGAATAATTTTCCACCATTATTATTGACTAGTTGAACTTTTTTGGTAAATTACTATTTATGTCCATTATCCATTTATTAATTTGCTACTTATGTAGATTTAAAACTAAATTTGTGTCAACATTTTCTGTAATTAAAATATTTACCCAATGTTTACCACGTTGGTGGGAAATATTATTTCTCCAATCTATGGTTCATTTCAAATTTTTGTTTTAATATTTACCTGGACACCGTCAATTGTTCTTTTCCTTTGTGATTCTTTAAGAAGCTTTGGAGCGAACTCCTCTAGCCCCAGCCCTTTTTCCTTGTGATAATTTTTAACTCATTTCCTCCTCAGCGCTCATGGTTTTAACATTACATACCTATATTCCAGATGCATTACCTGTTGGTCATCAGGAGTCCAGATGCCACATGTGATCTGACTTTCCAGGTTGATCTCAGATGACCAGTGTCTTTGTCCGCTGACAGAGCCGACCAGGACAAACCCGTCTCGATAGGAAATAAGTGCTTGCGTTCCATCGTGGCTCCACGTGAAGTCACTCACCTTTGAGACACACACAGAGAAAAGTGGTCAATGTGTAATCTTGAATGAAAAGCACTTGCATCAAAGACCTAGATGTAGCTCTTAACTTAGCTTTTGGCTAAGAACAAGGTGGCTTTAAAGAGAACAATATATCAATAAATATCCTATATAATAAAAGACTAGTTAGTATGCAAATTGTCCTCTTGACCAGGAGTTTGACCAGGGGGTGGGGTCGGCTGGCCAATCTCCTGCGTCCCCTTTCCCTGACTGGCCTGATTGGGGGAGGCCGGCTGGAACCCACCAATGCATGAATTCGTGCACTGGGCCTCTAATCTTATATAATAAAGAGGTAGTATGCAAACTGACCATCATGCCCTCGTACAAGATGGCCGCCACAAGATGGGTGGCAGAGGAGGGCAGTTGTGGGGAATCAGGCCAGCAAGGGAGGGCAGTTAGGGGTGACCAAGCCAGCAGGAGAGGCAGGGCAGTTGGGAGGGGGGGGGGGAAGAAGACCAGGCCTGCAAGGGAGGGCAGTTGGGGGTGACCAGGCCTGCAAGGGAGGGCAGTTGGGGGCAACCAGGGTGGGCAGTTAGGGGCAACCAGGCCAGCAGGGGAGGGAACTTGGGGGCAATTGGGCCTGCAGGGGAGCAGTTAGGCCTCAATAAGGCTGGCAGGGGAGTGGTTAGGGAGTGATCAGGCTGGCAAGCAGAAGAAGTTAGGAGCAATCAGGCAGGCAGGCAAGCAGCTGGGAGCCAACAGTCCCACAGGGATCGAGCCTAAACCAGCAGTCAGACATCCCCTGAGGGGATCCAGATTGGAGAGGGTGCAGGCTGGGCTGAGGGACAACCCCCTCCAGTGCACGAATTTTGTGCACTGGGACTCTAGTATATAATATGTGTATTATATCAATATTACATAATGTAAAAGACATTATTTGAAAAGTATGTGTCAGTGTGGTGTTGAGTGCTTCACAGATGTTAATAAACGTCATAAAGTCCACCTGTGGGAAGTATCATCATGGCCATTTTACAGAGAAAATAGGCACTGATGGGACAACCAAAATGGGCAAGACCTTCTGTAGACACATGGTACCATTTCCCAGTAGTAAAATTAATTGCTTGTTCATATGGTTACGTGTATGTTTAACTGCATAAGAAACTACCAAACTGTTTTCCAAAGTGGTAACACCATTTACACCCCCCATCAGCAGTATATGAGAGTACTAACAGTTCCATACCTCACCAACACTTCGTGCGGTCGGTTTATTTTCGCTTTATTAGTAGCTGTGCAGTGGTATGACATTGTGTTTTAATTTGCATTTCCCTAATGACATAATTTCACGTGCTTATTGATTATTTGTATATCATCTTTTGAAACATGTCTGTTCAAATCCCTTGCCATATACATGTATTTATATATATGTATTCCCATTCACCTAATCATATATATCAAGAAGTTGGTCTTCCGCCAAAACCGGTTTGGCTCAGTGGTAGAGTGTCGGTCTGCGGACTAAGGGGTCCTGGGTTCGATTCCGGTCAAGGGCATGTACATTGGTTGCGGGCGCATCCCCGGTGGGGGGTGTGCAGGAGGCAGCTGGTCGATGTTTCTCTTTCATCAACGTTTCTAGCTCTCTCTCTCTCTCTCTCTCTCTCTCTCCCCCTTCCTCTCTGTAAAAAAAAAACCAATAAAATATATTTAAAAAAAAAGAAGAAAAAAAAAAAAGAAGTTGGTCTTCCTATTATGCTGTAAAAAATTTAGCCAAAACCGGTTTGGCTCAACGGTAGAGCGTCGGTCTGCGGGCTGAAAGGTCCTGGGTTTGATTCCGGTCGGGGGCATGTACATTGGTTGTGGGCACATCCCCAGTAGGGGGTGTGCAAGAGGCAGCTGGTTGATGTTTCTCTCTCTCAGACGTTCCTGGCTCTCTATCTCTCTCCCTTCCTCTCTATAAAAAATCAATAAAATATATATTATAAAAAAAAAATTTAAATACAATCTTTTATCAGAATCGTTTATGGCAAAAATTTCTCCACTCTGTGGTTTGCCTTTTTATCTTCTTAGTGGTATCTTCCAAAGTGTAAGTTTTACATTTTCATGAAGTCCAATCCAATCTGCAGTAATATTTGAAAGTCCTTTCATTTTGCAAAGATAATGCTTTTCTTTACATGCATTTTAACTCATTTATCTTGGGAAATACTGTGCTAAGAGGAAAAACATCTTAAAAGAGGGCTAAACCATATAGTCCAAGCATATCAAACTTGTGGCCCACGGGCAGCATGCGACCCACAACAAGTATTTTTGCAGCCCAGACAATATAACGGTATGTAAGAAACTTTTTAATAAAAATATTGTAACTTGATTTTTACAATATCCTGTTATACGGGGGAGGAAGGGCACAGCTGCTCCTTAAGCCAGAAGAATCGATGAAGTGTTTCAAAAATAGCACAGCTCGGGAGAATCCAAGATGGCTTCACAGGTAAACACCTAGCCACGGCCGCACACAACAATTTCAATAAAATACAACTAAAATATAAAATGGACATTATCCAGAACTACAGGATAGTCGACTGACTGGAAATTCTATAACGAGAAGGAGAAAACCAGAAGGAAGAGCGGAGGAGAGGGCGGAGCTGTAAAAGCCTAAGGTACGGAGACACAAGGCACGCACGCGGAGAGGGCGGAGCCGGAGAGGAGGGGTGGCTGAGTACTTGGCTGGCGTTCCCTAGCAGGAAGGAGATAAAAGCTCTGACTGTGCTGGGCCCCAGTTCCGACTGCTCTGAACCCCAGTTCTAGGCCAGACCCCGGGGACCCAGACTCAAACAGAGGGAGCTGGGCTGTAAAGTGGAACCCCGGGGGAGCGACGAAAGGAGGTCCCGGAGGCGCGCACATTGCGCGCAGAGAAGGGACGATTGGCTGTGCCGCGGGATTGCCCTGACGGGAAGGAGACAGGGGCTCCAGACTGCTCTGAATGCCACCTCCAACCCCACTTCCAGCTGAACTGAACCCCAATACCAGGCTCATTGGGGGAGAGCCTAGACTGTTTGGTAGCAGGCGAAAATCGAGGGCACCTTTCTCTCAAGAGGCGCTTGCAACGAGTACTGAAGGACCCTGAGACTCAGGAGCCGCATAGGGCGGGACTGACAGAGCCAAAGCTGTAGGCTCTACCCTGAAACCCCGCCCCATCAGGGAAGCTGTGAAAATGCCGAGACGAAATAGATCACAAATGAAAGAAATGGAGGACAAAAAGCGACTGGATATAGAGTTCAAATCTATGCTTATAAGGTTTTTTTAAGAATTTCCTAGAAAAGATCGATAAGACCTATGAGGATATGAAAAGGGATCAACTAGAATTAATAAGGAATCAACAAGAAATGATAAGGGATCAACAAGAAATAAAGGATACATTGTCTGAAATAAAAAATATTATACAGAGTCCTAAAAACAGAATGGAATATCGCAAGAATCAAGTCAAAGATTTGGAACATAAAGAGCCAAAAGACACTCCTCCGCAGAAATAAGGCGGCAAGAGAATCCAGAAAATTGAAGATAATGTAAGAAACCTCTGGGACAACTTCAAGCGAACCAACAGAATTAAGGGGGTCCCAGAAGATGAGAGAGAACAAGGTATCGAAAACATATTGAAAGAAATAGTGACAGAAAACTTCCCCCACCTGGTGAAAGAATTAGACTTACAAGTCCAGGAAGCGCACAGAACTCCAAACAAAAGGAATCCAAAGAGGACCACACCAAGACAAATCATAATTAAAATTCCAAGAGCAAAAGACAAAGAGAGAATATTAAAAGCAGCAAGAGCAAAGCAGGTAGTTACCTATAAAGGAGCACCTATATGATTGTCAGCTGATTTCTCAACAGAAACCATGCAGGCCAGACGGGAATGGCAAGAAATATTCAAGGTGATGAATAGTAAGAACCTACAGCCAAAGATAATCTATCCAGCAAAACTATCACTCAGAATCGAAGGTAAGATAAAAAGCTTCACTAATAAAAAAAGCTAAAGGAGTTCATCACCACCAAACCAGAATTATATGAACTGCTGAAGGGGGTTCTTTCGGAAGAGAAAGTAAATAAAGATAAAAATTATGAACAACAAATACGTAACTATCAACAAGTGAATCTAAAAACCAAGGAAATTTAAAAAAAAATCTGATGAACAATAGTAACTGTTGAATATAATAGAATCAGAGGTATGGAAGGGGAGTGAACTGACGATTCTTGGGGAAAAGGGGAAAGGGGGATGTGGGAAGAGACTGAACATAAACTGTGCACCTATGGATGAGGACAATGGGGGTGGGGAAAGGGCAGAGGGTAGGGTGGGAACCTGGTGGAGGAGAGCAATGGAGGGGGGTGGGGGAAAAAACATTTGTAATAATATGAACAAAAATTTATTAAAAAAAAAAAAAAAAAAAAAGCTGAAACCGGTTTGGCTCAATGGATAGAGCGTCGGCTTGGGGACTGAAGGGTCCCGGGTTCGATTCCGGTCAAGGGCACGTACCGTGGTTGCGGGCATATCCCCAGTGGGGGGTGTGCAAGAGGCAGCTGATTGATGACTCTCTTTCATCGATGTTTCTAACTCTGTATCTCTCTCCCTTCCTCTCTGTACAAAATCAATAAAATATAATTAAAAAAAAAAATAGCACAGCTCGGCAGGGCATCCCTGGAGCAGTTGCTTTCCTCTGGGAAGACAAATTTCTACCAGGAAGGAAGAGCTGAGGAGGACAACGGGCGGCCACACTCACTGCAATCTGAGAGAAGGGTGTTGACAACTCAGTTTGGTGAGTGGGTTGTGAGAAACAGTCATGTGGAGCTCCCTGTGAGATAACCGGGAAGATTACAGCACAGGAAAATACCTTGTGAAAGGGAGCAAAAAAGTGATATGCCAGAGTACTTCCGAGGACCCAAGTTTAACATGCGATCACACTGAATGTGAAAGTGATTTCACAGATTTAATTAAAGCCTGAAGACTCAGAGCATTCTCACAAGAACAGCACAGTGGAAGTACATACACACAAACATGAAAAGCAGGGTTCTAGTTTTATGTGTTTCTACTCCACCCATTTCTGGAAAGAGTTTCCATTTGCCTGGGACACAGGACCCGGTTGTCTCTCCAGCAGTCTTTCCCTGAAAGAGCTTCCACCACTCACCTGAGCCCCTCGGTCGTTGACCAGCTCCACAGACCATCTTCCTTCGTACTGAATCCACACAAATATCCCTCCATCTGCGTCACATGTGGCCAGCTTCTGGTATGGCTCATTCCACCTCACCAGCACAACCTAGAAAACAGCCAAGAAGATAGTTACCACAGGGAATGAACCAGTCAGGACTACACCTACAAAGAGATCAAACTCCAGAACTAAACAGAGTGCATGGTCAAAGGAAAAGCCTGGGGAGGCAGTGGGGATGAGTGGAGGGGCCAGGCCAGAGTCCGCACACGGCAGTCACAGGCACCAGACCCAAAGGGCTTCCCAGGAAACAGCAGACACCTGAGCCAGGGATCAGTGCGGCAGGGAAACGCCCACCCAGGAAATGGGCCCAGAGGCCATCTGACTCTGCCGTGCCTCTCAGAGATGCACGGATCTTTCACCTGACAGGACGGTATGAGGGGAACCATTTTCACGGACTATATTGTGTATTTGAATCAGAGTATTATTTTTTAGTGCAGTAAGAGGCAAGGTGAAACCTATTTAATGTCATTTTCCTCCCAATATAAAATTCTCCATACATTTTCTAGATTCTTATTTTCAAATAGTTCAGCATCTAAACATGGCTAATTTGGAAATGACTTTGATCTTTCTCAGCTATCACGCCATCTAAACCGCAGAGCCTCTTGAAGGTGGTCTGTGGAATCAGGAGAATGCGTGGGGGCAGCCCTCAGAGAGTCCAGTGAAACCTCTGCGGACACAGGCCTATGGAGGAGCCCAGGAGCCATGAGACCGGCTCCCCACAATCAGTGTGTGAAGGTTCTCTGAGTGTCACCTCACCAGCCCATGTTAGCAATCATGTTAAATTAAATCAACGGGTCAGACATTCAGCTCATACTTAAGGTTCCTGCTATGAGATGCTGTGACCAATATGAAGCTGGAGAAGACCAGGCTCCACTCTTGGGAAAAGTCCAGCTGGGAGCCACAACATCCACAAATACGTGAATATACACTGAGGTGTGTCTGTCAGAGTAGGACTATCATTAACTGACAAGAGCACGCCTGATGTTCATAAGGAAGCTTCGGATCCTGTCTCTTCCCAGGGCTTTGTGCCTAATAAACGAATTACCCCGCTTGCAAGCCATAGTTTGCTGACCACTGAACTACCCTCATGAACGTGTGGCACCTGTGTAAATGGTTTCCAAATTCTAATGTATACCGTTGACCCTTGCTATGGCACTGACCCCACTCACATAAAAAAAATCCACCTACACCTTTTAATTCTCCCAAAACTTAATTGCAGCTATCCACCAGCTTCTATGAGGGACTGGTTCCAGGACTGCTATAAATACCAAAATCCGAGGATGCTCAAGGCCGCCATATAAAATGGCACAGATCAATGCATGCAATTGGCCATCTGCGCCTGCAGGTGGTGGATGCAAAACCTGGGGACATAGAGGGCTGACACGTATTTATTGAAAAACAGCCACATGCAAGTGGACCCATACAGTTCAAGCCCATGTTGTTTGAGGGTCAACTGTGCAATGACAGGACCTCCTCACGCCATCTGTGTCCAAAACACAGACTAACACAGAAGCCCAGTCACTTCTCCAAGTTGTATATGGGCACACCTGTTTTTAGTCCTGAGGTTTGTGTGCAAGGCACCACAGAGCTAGAAGTGGCCCCATAACTAATGGCATTAGCATTAGTTATAAAATGCATAAAAAAAGATGCATGATAAAATCCTCAAATTTTCCAAGAGGAAATTCTTACCCACTCAAAATGTAAGGATGCTGTTGCTTTAAAAACAAAACAAAACAAAACAAAACAAAACAAAACATCTCTGGCCCAGCCAGCTTGGCTCAGTGGTTGACTATCAACCTATGAACCAGGAGGTCACAGTTCAATTCCCGGTCAGGGCACAGGCCCAGTTTGCAGGCTTAATCCCCAGCGTGAGGCTTTCAGGAGGCAGCTGATCAATGATTCTCTGTCATTATTGATGTTTCTATTTCTCTTTCCTTCTCCCTTCCTCTCTGAAATCAATAAAATTATACATATTCTTAAAATTCAAAAATCAAAGAGAGCTATGAGGTTGCAATTTCGAGACATGGCAATCACTAGTCACATCTAACTTAGCTGATGGTTCCCATGCCGCGGGCAGCTCCCACGGATGCAGACCGACAGCTCCCAGCAGCCCATTCAGCCTCCCCTCTGCTGAGCGCCTACCACACTCTAGTCCCAGCTCTGCATGTGCAGCACTCACACCACCCACTGTATGGGTGGCAACTGTCACTGCACAGATGCCCTCCCTACTGAGCTGTGCTGCCCGAGGAAAGAGACAGAATCCTGACACACAGTAATTTTGAATATATTGTTCCAAAGAGTAATACATAGTTAGAAATTATCATCCTTGTCCAGTTGTATCTTTTTAAATATATATTTTATTGATTTTTTACAGAGAGGAAGAGAGAGGGATAGAGAGTTAGAAACATTGATGAGAAAGAACCATCGATCGGCTGCCTCTTGCACACCCCCTACTGGGGATGTACCGCCAACCAAGGTACATGCCCTTGACCGGAATCGAACCTGGGACCTTTCAGTCCACAGGCTGACGCTCTATCCACTGAGCCAAACCGGATTTGGCTCCAGTTGTATCTTAGAACTATAAAAGGTTATGGAAACAGCTTTCAAACTCCCAAAGGCATTTTAACAACAGCCAACACTGCCAGCCTGCCTATTACAAACTGTTGGGTGCTAAGCCACCTTTGTCCTTGTCAAGTTCAGTTCAGTAAATGGACACAATCCAGTGCTCTATCTGCCATTAGAGAGTTGTGAACATACACAGGAGGACCTCAACACAGGTGGATGGGGGCAGCAAATCCAGATTCATTTATTTGATTCTAGTTTTTTAAATTCTCTATTTAAATTACTGATCTAATTTTTTAAAAACTGTAAAACCAAAACAGCAACAAAAGTCTTTAAATGCACTTAATGTGTCGTAAAATTTAGAGTTTCCAAATGGCCAATAAAAGCCAACTGTATAAAGTTCTTCCAGGCCCAGGGATGATCTGGCCTGAGCCTTGCAATGCTATTTGGTTCCTAAGTCACAGGCCCGCCTTTAAGCCCAGTCACTGACTGCCTCCAGAATGGCTGCACAGGACAAACTATGGCCAATAACATGACAGTCATTGCTGACCACGGGTAAGTTAACACATGAACTATAAAAGGTTATTGAAAGCTATTCAAGTACTATGACCTTCCTTATGAAATAGTATCTGATGACAAGATGTCATATTTGAGAGCATAAAGGCTAGTCAGTTTCTATACTTTTGCCTTTTTGCTTTAATATCCAGGAATGGCTGCATATTTGGTTCACATTAGTAATCAAATTCTTCTTCATGAAAACAGCCAGCACAGCCACAACATGTCACAAACACTAAAGAGAAAAGGTAAGATATAAAGTCATTTCTAACTTCACAGATTTCTTGGTCTTGGGAGAACACAGTGGTAGCTTTAAGATCAACAGCAAGTTCACCGGCTCCAGTGCATCTTTTTGCAATTCCTGACCAGCTGAGATGCAGCTATAAATAGAAACAGCCCCCCCACATACTTCTTTGCTGTGAGTTCTAACCAATAAACCTAAGTGGATCGCTCCCCTAAATTAGGGGAAGAAATCTTTCCAGTGATTCTGGGTTTAAAAATAAAGCCATACTGCTAATGTTTCCTTGGATTCGTATTCTCATTTCCTCTCTCGTCTGGTCTACAGTTCGTCTTATCTCCCAGAAGTTTATTTCCTGTTCTCCGAATCCTTCCAGTCTATTTGGCAACATCAAGACATACCAGAGTGTTGAGGAATTACCAAGCAGCAGGCCAGCTGGTTTCTCAGCGGCAGAATGCAGGGTGCCCAGGCATTCTAAGCCAGAACTTTCCTTCCCTTTTAAAGGAAAATGGGGCTCAGGGTGCCTCTGGGCACAGAAGAACCTCAGTGGTCAGGGTGTTAGCTGAAGTGCGTGATGTTCTACTAAAAAGACAGACAAGAAGCTAAGCTTTGACCTACGGCTTAGATTATTCAAAAACTGCCAGCCTGTTACCCTCTCTAATGCAGATGTTCTATCATGTTATAAACATTGTTACCAATAAATACTTATCAAGGACTATTAAAGGAGAGAAATCTATACTAAAAGCATAGGGCCGGTCAACTGAAAGCCCATGTGGGCTGTAACCTGATGCCCTAAACAAGTCATTTCACTTCCAACACCTAGTACTATTTTTAGAAAAAATTGTTAACCCAATTCAAGGATATTCATCTTTTCAAGCAAGAACCCTTCAAATAGTGTTGATAAATATGAATATCGTTTATATTTTATAGAAATATATGGATAACCACCTCAGTAAACAACTAGTATCTTCAATACTCATAAATGTTTTCCTCAACTTAAAGAGAATGTAATTTGAATGAATGCTGAATACAAATAGAAGCAGCATTTTAAAAATGATTGCTGAGTTATCCATGATCCCTTAAAAACACTGTACATATGGCTGCCTTTCAGTTTTTTAAAGACATGCTCATTAGGAAGATAACACCATATGGAAGGGATGAATCATCTATTAGAGGTCAACTCAACAACTAGATTTTAGGCGATATTCGTGCTTCTGAAGTTCAAAGCAGCTAAAGAATCTTGTCAACTTGTCCTTATAATATTCAAGGGAACCTTCTTAACTTCCTTATCAGCCAGGGAGCATTTCTGCTAGAAGACAGCACACACCAAGGTTTTATCTACCACCTTTCCACGATTTATCTGTAGAGCCACCACTGAGACTAGGACTCGTAAGTAGTCCAGAATACCACACTACTTTTGAGTGATTAATTTCAAACACAGATTGAGACACTTTTACAAAAACGACACACTCAGAATTACAAAGAAACAGTATACATCCACAAAAATTAAACAAAAGAACAGAGTGAGGGGATGTAGTCTCCACCTGCCAGGATGATGCCTTGTATAGAAGTCAGAACACAAGCACTTGAAGTGAAATGGATGAGAAGGCCCAGCTCAGGGAAGCTGCAGGCTGGGGCTGAGCCTCTAAGGTGAGGAGAGCGATCTGCCCAATGCTGGGAAGGCCCTGCCCTG